TTTTTTTTTTTTGAGACAGAGTTTCGCTCTTGTTACCCAGGCTGGAGCGCAATGGCGCCATATCGGCTCACCGCAACCTCCGCCTCCTGGGTTCAGGCAATTCTCCTGCCTCATCCTCCCAAGTAGCCGGGACTACAGGCATGCGCCACCATGCCCAGCTAATTTTTTGTATTTTTAGTAGAGACGGGGTTTCACCATGTTGACCAGGATGGTCTCGAGCTCTTGACCTCGTGATCCACCCGCCTCAGCCTCCCAAAGTGCTGGGATTACAGGCGTGAGCCACCGCTCCTGGCCCTTTAGTTATTCTTATTCTACTATTTGATGTCCTGCTTTGCTTTGTAACACCTAAAGACAAAGAAATAGTCACAGGTGATAGGGTGTGGTGGCTAAGGCCTATAACCCCAGCACTTTGGGAGGCCAAGGCAGGAGGATTACTTGAGGCCAGGAGTTCAAGACTAGCCTGGGTAACATAGCAAGACCCTGCCTCTACCCACAAAAAAAAAAAAAAGAAAAAAAAGCTGGGTGTGGTTGCACACACCTATGGTCCCAGCTTTCCAGGAGGCTGAGGTAGGAGGCTCACTTGAGCCCAGGAGGTTGAGGCAGTCAGTTGTGATCATGCCACTGCCCTTTAGCCTGGGTGACAGAGCAAGAGAAAAAAAGAAAAAGAAAGAAATATTCCTAGGTAGTTAGCGTTTGTGTTTGTAATGCGTTTGTAAACCTAAGCATTTAAAAGTGCCTCTTAATTTCCTGTAGGCTTCAATTGTGTTGTCCTCCCAGGATGAATTCTCACCCACGAGCAAGCTCCAGCGTTTGCTGGCCGAGTCTCGTCAGATGGTGACGGACCTGGAGCTGAGCACGCTGCTGCCCATCAGCCATGAGAATCTCACTGGCAGCGCCATGAATGTATGTCTTTAGTCTTCTCTTGACTACACTTGTCACATCCAAACACGCCACTGAGCACTAGTGTGTAAATATCACCAGCAGGGCAGCTGTTTTGTTAGAGGGAGAGTTTCTGTGTCTCTGGGGAGGAAAGGGAACACACTTGTTTTAAGGAGGAAAAAGTTACAATCAGATGTCACTGCACCCAAACTTCCTCTTTCTAATGATCTGGGGCATGTGAAGAGAAATTCTTGGGGATTTTTTGTGGGTGGGATGGAGTTTTGCTCTTGTTGCCCGGGCTGAAGTGCAGTGGTGCGATCTCAGCTCGTTGCAACTTCCGCCTCCTGGGTTCAAGTGATTCTCCTGCTTCAGCCTCCCAAGTAGCTGGGATTACAGGCACCCCCACCACCTGAGGCTAATTTTGTTTTTGTTTTTTTAAATTTTGTATTTTTAGTAGCGACAGGTTTTCACCATGTTGGCCAGGCTGGTCTTGAACTCCTGTTCTCCAGTGATCCACCTGCCTTGGCCTCGCAAAGTGCTGAGATTATAGGCGTGAGCCACTGTGCCCAGCTGGGAAATTTTTAAAAAACAAATTTTATGATAGAAAATTTCAAATGAGCACCAAAGTGTAAAGAATGGCAGTCACTTGCCTTCAACCACTGTCAATTTTATCTTACCCCATCCACACACATTTTCTTCAGAAGAATTTTAGAACGAATCTCAGCATCATATCATGTCACTCATAAATATTTCATGATGTCTCTCTAACAGATATGGACTTTTAATTTTTTTGAGTTTCACACTTGTTGCCCAGGCTGGAGTGCAGTGGTGTGATCTTAGCTCACTGCAACCTCCACGTTCTGGGTGCAAGCGATTCTCCTGTCTCAGCCTCCTGAGTAGCTAGGATTACAGGCACCTGCTACTACACCTCACTAACTTTTGTATTTTTAGTAGAGACGGGGTTTCACCATGTTGGTCAGGCTGGTCTTGAACTCTTCACCTCAGGTGATCCACCCACCTTAGCCTCCCAAAGTGCTGGGATTATAGGTGTGAGCCACCTCACCCTGCCAAATTTTAATTGTATTTGTTTATTTTTGAGACAGAGTCTTCCTCTGTTGCCCAGGCTGGAGTGCAGTAGCTATCCACAGCCGTGATCACAGCTCACTGCAGCCTCAAGTCCCTGGGATCAAGCAATCCTTCCACCTCAGTCTCCCAAGTAGCTGGGACCACAGGCACACACTGCCCCACCCACTACATTTCCCAGGCTGCCATTGAACTCCCAGCCTCAAGTAATCCTCCTGCCTTAGCCTCCCAAAGTTTTGGGACTATCGGTATGAGCCACCGTGCTCAGCGTATTTATTTGTTTTTAGAAAGAGTCTTGCTCTGCCACCCAGGCTGGAATGCAGGGCCAACTTGAACCTCCAACTCCCAGGCTCAAGTGACCCTCCAACCTCAGCCTCTTGAGTAGCAGGGATTACAGGTACACGGAACCATACCCAGCTGATTTGAGCTGATTCAAACTCCTGGGCTCAAGCAATCCTCCTGCCTCATCCTCCCAAAGTGCTGGGATTACAGGCATGAGCCACTGCACCTGGCCTGCCTTTTCTTTTTCTTAACAGTTTCTTTTAAAAAGCAGAAATTAAAAAAAAATAATAATAATAAAAAATAAAAAGCAGAAACTTTAAATTTTGATTACTTCCAGCTTAACAGGTTTTTTTTAAAGTGGTGTTTTTTGTGTCCTAAGAAATCTATCCCAAGGTTGTGATTCTTTTCTCCTTCTAGAAATTTTCTAGTTATGTTTAGGTCTGAGGTTCATTTAGACTTATTTTAGTGCGTGGGATAAAGTTAGAATCAATGTTTTTTTTTTTTTCCATACACATACCCAGTTCTAGCACTCTTTGTTAATGAGACTATCTTTCATTACTGAATTATTTTTGCCGTTTTTGTTGAATATTAATTGAGCATACATGCTAGGGGCTATTTCTGGACTCTGGTCATTTCAATTGATTTGTCTTTCCTTATATTCCTACCACATCATATTGATCATTATAACTCCATAGAAAGTCTTGAAATTGTGTAGTATACATTATTCACTTTGTTTTTCTTTTTCAGAATTGCTTTAACTATTCTAGGCCTTTTGCAGATCCATATCAATATTAGAATCAACTTGTCTTTTTTGTTTTTTAATGCCCTCTTGGTATTGTGGTTTTCTTTTTTTTTTTTTTTTACCATGTTGGTCAGGCTGGTCTTGAACTCCCAGCCTCAGGTGATCTGCCTGCCTTGGCCTCCAAAGTGCTTGGATTACAGGCGTGAGCCACCACGCCCGGCCGGGTATTGTGGTTTTCTTTCTTTATTTCTTTCATTTTTCTTTTTTTTTTTTCTACTGAGTTTCGCTCTGTCACCTAGGCTGGAGTGCAGTGGTGCGATCTCCACTCACTGCAACCTCTGCCTCCCAGGTTCAAGTGATTCTCCTGCCTCAGCCTCCTGAGTAGCTGGGACTATAGGTGTGTGCTGTCACACCTGGGTAACTTCTGTATTTATTAGAGATGGGGTTTCACCGTGCTGGCCAGGCTGGTCTGAAAATCCTGACCTCAGGTGATCCACCCGCCTCGGCCTCCCCAAGTGCTGGGATTACAGACATGAGCCAACACGCCTGGCTAGTATTGTGGTTTTCTTGAATCCATAGATTCAAGGACAATTGAGGAAAACGGACATCTGCAAACAGAGTATATCTCAATTTATTTTGGTCTGTCTTCATTTCTCTTGACCATATTTTGCATTTTCATTGTAAAGGTCTGGTACGTCTTCTGTTAAATTTATCTCTAACACAGGTTGAGTATCTTTTTTTTTTTTTTTTTTTTTTTTTTTTGAGACAGAGTTTCGCTTTTGTTACCCAGGCTAGAGTGCAATGGCATGACCTCAGCTCACTGCAACCTCTGCCTCCCATGTTCAAGCGATTCTCCTGCCTCAGCCACTCGGGTAGCTGGGATTACAGGCATGTGCCACCACCCCTGGCTAATTTTTGTCTTTTTAATAGACAGGGTTTCACCATATTAGCCAGGCTGGTCTCGAACTCCTGACCTTGTGATCCACTTGCCTCAGCCTCCCAAAGTGCCAGGATTACAGGCATGAGCCACTGTGCCCGGTCTGGGTTGAATGTCTTTTATCCAAAATGCTTGGGACCAGAAGTGTTTCAGATTTCAGATATTTTTTGATTTAGGCATATTTGCATTATATACTTATAATTGAGCATCCCTGATCCAAAAATCCAAAATTTGAGTTTTTGTTTTTGAGACAATCTCGCTCTGTCGCTCAGGCTGGAGGGCAGTGGTACAATCTCAGCTCACTGCAACCTCCACCTGCCGGGTTCAAGTAATTCTGCTACCTCAGCCTCCCAAGTAGTGGGGACTACAGGCATGCACTACCGCATCTGGCTAATTTTTGTAGAGACCCAGGTTTTACCATGTTGGCCAGGCTGGTCTTGAACTCTTGACCTCAGGTGATCTGCCCACCTTGGCCTCCCAAGGTGCTGGGATTACAGGCATAAGCCACTACACTCACCCAGATTTTGGATTTATAGACTAGGGATAATCAACCTGTATTTTGTTTATTGATACGGTTATACATTATATTTTAAACTTCATTCTCAAATTGTTTATTAATTATACAAATAACTACAGTTGATTTTTGTAAATTGCAACTTTTCTGAATTCATCTATTCTAGTAGAGTTTTTGTAGATTCCTTAGGATTTTCTTTTTTTTTTTTTTGAGACGCAGTTTCGCTCTTGTTACCCAGGCTGGAGTGCAATGGTGCGATCTCGGCTCACCGCAACCTCCGCCTCCTGGGTTCAGGCAATTCTCCTGCCTCAGCCTCCTGAGTAGCTGGGATTACAGGCACGCACCACCATGCCCAGCTAATGTTTTTGTATTTTTATTAGAGACGGGGTTTCACCATGTTGACCAGGATGGTCTCGATCTCTTGACCTCGTGATCCACCCGCCTCGGCCTCCCAAAGTGCTGGGATTACAGGCTTGAGCCACCGCGCCCGGCTCCTTAGGATTTTCTACACAATCATGTCATTCACAAATAGAAACAGTTTCATTCCTTTTTCCAGTGTTTATGCCTTATTTCATTTTCTTCCCTTATTGCTCTGGCTAGGACGTCCAGATCAGTGTTGAATAGAAGGAGGGGAGCAGACATCTTTGCCTTGTTTCGGGAAATACTCTCTGATGGCATTTCTTGCTTAGTCCATCTTCAGATTAGTATTTTGTTAGATTCAGAGTTCCCTGGAGCAGTTTCTATGTGACGCAAATAGATCCAAAGCTAGAACATTAATCATTTTAGAATCAACATGCTCATTGCCATGAGCCTAAACAGGTAATTGCAGAAATTAGCTTAAAAAACAGACTCCCAAAATAGAAATTTTTCCAAGTATACAATGTGTGCTATATAAACTTTTCAAAGTGGAAACAGTGCTGGACTGGTGTTTCTTAGGAAGATTTCTTCTCACAAGCTGTCTCTCAGGCATTTGTGAACCCTTGCATTTATATCGGGGCAGAGGAAGGTTTTTAGTGACAAAACTATTTTGGTGCTTAGCTCTCCCTTTAAATGTCTGCAGTGAGGCCGTTTCTTCCCCTGTGTCTAGGGAGGACTTTAATGACTTTTCTGGTCATTCTTTGGCAGCCATTTCTCTAAAATATGTATTTTAATTGAGATATAGACCAGCCATGGTGGCCAACACGTGTAATCTCAGCACTTTGGGAGGCCAAGGCAGACAGCTCACTTGAGCCAAGGAGTTTGAGACCAGCCTGGGCAACGCCGGGAAACCCTACCTTTACAAAACAAATTTTTTTAATTAGCTGGACACACTGGCATGTACCTGTAGTCCCAGCTGCTCAGGAGGCCGAGGTAGGAGAATCACTTGATCCTGGGAGGTCAAGACTGTAATGAGCCGTGATCTTGCCACTGTACTCCAGCCTGGGTGACAGAGAGAGAGACCCTATATCCAAAAAGAAAGAGAGAAT